TATTAGGTAAATAATCAGAACACTTTAAAATGCTATTCAGAACGGTGGTGTGGGTCAGCTTTGATATTCAGGATCGTTTTGGAAGCTCTTCATGAAGATCATTGAAGGACAAAAACACCAGATCAACCGTCTACTAGAATGAACTGTATTGGATTCGTGTTCAAATAAAATAGTCTTGAAATGACCTCAAAAGTTAGATATCTGGTCTTATTAAATATAAAAAAAAGGCAAAGTGAAACAATCTGTTAAACCTTTTAGGGCTTTCTCATTTCACTGAATGTGTCTCTAATTTAACATTTTTAATGAAAAGAACAAAATATCAAATGAGAGAGTTATAAATGATAAACAAAAAAAATTGTCAGGAGATTTTTGGGTTTGTTGCTAATAGTTACAGGTAAAACAGAGTTCCTCTCTTACAGTCTGGTGTCTCAGACAGCAGTGGGAAAGGTGACTGGAGCATGAAGGGAATGTAAAAATTCAAACATCCCAACTTGCCCTATTAATTCATCTCAGAGCTCTTACATCCCTCTCAAGTCTTTGCTCCTCTCATTTTCTGGGTTAAACTGACTTCAGTGCAGCTCATCATACAAAAGCACGAGCAAGTTCAAAGTCATTTACAAATTAAATCTAAAGCTCCCAGCTTAAGTGAATTTTGATCAGTAGGCACAACCATGTTAGCAGTGGTTAAGGGAGTAAAAAATTTAAGAGCGTCTTTATTTTAAAGTATGTGAACCTAATAATGCCTCCATTTTATGTGGAGGAATACATTACAGAAAACAAATTAGACGGCAAGATAGAAGCATGCCAGGAGATCTTATTTCCATCCTTATGAGATAACTGTACCCATTAGACGGTTAAAGCTATTCTGGTGTCCTAGCTCGTTCCAAAGACTTCGCCTCGGAAATTACGGCAATCTGTCTTTAAACTTTGATGCCGTCAGAAAGCTCCCTTTATCCATTCTCATCATTTTCCCTCTGACCTGTGTGTGTGCGTGTGTGTGTGCATATGTACATGTGGAACAGAGGGAAGAAATGGTAACAGAGAGAGGGAGAGGGAGCAGAAAGGGAAAGAGATATGAGCGGGTGGGGCTAAGCTGTCTGCGACCAAGGCCCAGGGAACATAAAAAGAAAAATACGGTCATAAAACCTCTCTATGACTATGAATACTAATACTGACTCCATGAGCTAAACCAAGTCCTCTCTCTGCTCCCCTTTGTCTTGTGAGAGAAATTATGCAGCTTAGAAATAAAGTGAAAGTCGTGCAGCACACAGGCTGTGTTGTATTTCTGAGTACTAACACTGTGTTATACACCGAGCAGCAGCAGCACAGATTGAAGATTAGTTACTGACAACAGAGAAAAGCACAAACCCTTCGTTTGCTGGTTCTGCTAGCATCAGCTCATTTTATTATTCACCGCACATCAGTGTTTTCCCATATTGATAAAGCTGTCAAATAGTGTGACAGTAAACAAACATTTTTCCTTCTTTTTGTCAAACACACAAACACACACACACACACACACACACACACACACACACACACACACACACGCGCACACACACGCGCACACACACACACACACACACACACACACACGCGCGCGCACGCACGCACGCACACACACACACACACACACACACACACACACACACACACACACACACACACACACACACACACACACACACACACACACACACACTGTAAAAATATCTTGTTCTCTTGTCACAGTTACCAAGAACTCTTATTAGCTCAGTTTACTTTCTATTAAAAGTCTGTGGTTTGTTTCACATATTTAGCCAATTTCCTCTTCTCAACTTTACTAAAAAGCACAAATAAAGCTTATGAGATTTTAAATGGTTTATTTCCATTATAATATTGAGATATAATGGAACAAGCATACCTAAGAGCAAAAGGTTTAAGTTATACCCTTTAAACAGGCAAACAAGACTTCCGGGGATGGCGGTGAAGCGAGAGGAAGCATAGCCAGGAGCTCTCAGCGAGGGTTCAGCATTTCCCCATTTTTTCAGCTACATCAGACTTCGATAAATATTTATGGGGAAATTCAAAACTACAAAGATACAAACCACAGAAAGGAAAACTGATGAAGAGAACGAAGGAATGGCGACGAGAGAAGGGAATGAAGATGCCCAAAACACGATGGCCACGCTCCAATATAGCAAGGAGGCTATCCAAGAGGAAATCATGGCTAGCCACGCAGATATGAAAAAACACTTCAGCGAAGCTTGGGAGACGATGAAAGTTGACATGAAGCAAGAGCTGGGGAGTTTTAAAAACGAGATGAATAAGTAGATGGATGAGGTAGGGGCCAACTAAAAAGCATGGAGACGAGAGTGGAAGAAATGGAGCAAAGAGTGGGAGAGGTGGAAGAGTAGTGCGCTAATGCTAAGGAGGTGCTCCTTCAGACCGTAGAGGAACAACAATGAATGCTGGCCAAGCTAACCAATCTGGAGACCCGATCACGGAGGAACAACCTTTGTATAATTGGAATACCAGCAGACCAGGAAGCGGACAACCCAACTGCATATGTGGAGAAGCTCTTAAAGACTGAACAAGGTATGCAGAACGTAGAGTTGGGGAAACAACGATGCCACAGATCACTCGGTCAGAAGGCCCCCACACACGTGCCCCCAGATCCATGATTGAATGTTTCCTTGAATACAACATTAAAGAAAAACACGGAAGAACAGAGGGACGGCCTAGTCTCCCTTATAAAAGAGGCATATCAAAGTAATATTAAAAACAAACTAATTACCAAACTTGATCGGAACCTACAATCACTGACTAATCAACTAATTATATTAAAATTAAATGGGAAAGGGAAGCACAAGTCACCATATCAGATGAAAGTTGGGCAACTATATGTAAAACACAGACAAAAACTACTAGTTCGGATTACTGGAGGGAATTCACTTGGAAAAAATTTACCAGGGTCTTTATAACCCCTAAAATAAAATGCAAACAGAAAGGCCAACCGAGAGAAGGACATTGCTGGAGACAATGAGAGGAACACATGGCAGACCACTCCCTTATTTTATGGAAATGCCTGGTAATTCAGCCATATTGGAGGGAGATGGTTGACACAGTCACAGTCGTGACTGGTTGTAAGTTAGTTAAGGATTTCTGTACTGTTTATTTGGGTGATATCCCATCGGTAGTCCCCGCAAGAGACAAATATTTAATGAATATCATGCTGGCAGCAGGCAAAAAGCGCTTACCAGGAAATGGCTAGAGAAGAATGCCCCAACAAGGAAAGACTGGCAGAGAATAGTCGAGGACATATATAAGATGGAAAAACTGACAGCCTTTTTGAACCTTAAATTAGATCATTTTCATAAGAATTGGGAGAAATGGGAGAGATTTACTAACAGCAATAACACGCAATGATGGAGGCAGGTTGTAAAGCTAAGGTTTAGCCTACTCCCATATGTTTACTGGAAGTGGAAGGGCCTGTTGTGGATACGAACACTTCATAATGGACTGGAAACACACATTCATAACATCATCAGAGGCGGAACGTTAAGGGCTACATGGACCCTGATATACGGACAAAACCTGAGGTCATGGAACTCAGAAGAGAAGGGAGGATGGCTCTCCCCGAAAAGGGCGAACCCGACGGTTCCACTGTGCCAATAGTTGTTGTATGCTTTCTGTACCTTAACAAAACTTTCAATAAAAAGAAAATATATATATAAAAAAAGAAAACAGGCAAACAAATTGGTTTTAATGTGGAAAATAGGGCTGGATGACATAGAAAATAGCTAATTGCTAAAAAAAATCATATTGATTGACGTTAATAATCATTGATAACTGTATATAATAATATATATTTGAAGTTTCACCGTCTGTTTTCTATCAGAAGCTAATGCAGGAGATAGGAGTAGGAGACTATTTTCATGTTCAGCCTGCACGAAAAACTCAGAGTGACCAATCCTTTTCAAAAATAATAAGTAAAACATGTTTTTTCAGTCAATGAGGCTGCTATGTGCCGTTTAAAAATTCACATGACGTCAAAGACAAAATATTTTCTTCTTTTCCTAAACAATTAAATCTTGGGTTCAGACACAACTTTCTATATCAAACAACAACCAAAGCAAGTTTTAAGTATTCTTTATATCTATCATTAACACGGATCAATACACTTTTAATTTGGAAATGTACATCTTTTATTTTTTTAAACTGTGCCATCAGCTGTCTCATAGCATGGCCGCTAATTTCGGGGGAATTTATAGATTTTATGGCCAAGTGCTCCTTACGAGTACCTGTACTTCCACGGTATATACCTTGAAGCAAGCGTTCCCTGACAAATGTTGGAGGACAGAAGAAAAAGTCCTAATCTCTGAAGCATTTCTAATGAGTTTTTCTCCTACAATTATTTGATAAGAACAGACAAGACTGGAGGCAGCATGTATGATACACTAGCTCCTACCACTGAGGTGAGAGCTGTGCTTAAACACACACACACACACACACACACACACACACACACACACACACACACGCACACACACACACACACACACACACACACACACACACACACACACACACACACACACACACACACACACACACACACACACACACACACACACACACACACACACACAGGAAGGCTTTCAGTCCATCATCTCACACCCAACAATCCTAAAAATAACATGAGAAGCTGAAGTTATGACCAGCAGGCACAGCTAAGTTACCAATCGGAGTATTTTTAATCTAAACACACACACACACACACACACACACACACACACACACCCACACACACACACACACACACACACACACACACACACACACACACACACACACACACACACACACACACACACACACACACACACACAGTCTCAAATCCCTTCCATCTTTAATCATCAACACAGCTCAACCTCTGTGCCCCAGCCATAATCATCACCACCTACACTGCTTTTATTTTTTCTTCACCTGCTCGAGCCACTTTCATCTCCGAGACTTACCACACTGAGACCAAGCTGTTCTCTCTGCAGGTAAGGAAGGTTTCTGCGCTCCAAGCTGGCCAGGTAGTGCTGCAGTCTGGTGTAGGTGTAGGGGTAGCAGTAGGCGAACTGGTATACGTCGTTCTCTCGGTCAAAACAAAAGGCAAAGGACATGACATAGTTGCGCCTGTGGTCAGGACATCGGTAGTAGTAAACGTTTTTGGGGGGAAGCCTCTGCCTGCAACACATACAAAAAGAGAAGGCCATGAGCTCGTAAATCAGGAAGAGTAAATGTCTTGCATGTTGGTTTGATATCAAGAAATCAGTGGTGAGTTACAGCTGGATATGCAACCTTCACTAATGGGCCATTCCCATCTGTACCGGGTCGGCCCGGGCCGGGTAGCCCCAGTCGGCCCCAGCCTGGCCCGGTTGATTCCACACATCCTTGCCTTAAGCCCATGTGGGCTGATCCTACCCACCAATCAGAGGCTTGCTCTAATGGAAGGTGTGAATTTGCTGTCAGCAGTGGGTGTGTTGGCCCTGGTCGGCCTGAAGCAGACCCCCTAGAGAAGAGGGCTGAGAATGAGCCTTGGTTGGCCCGGAAAAATACCAGGCCACCCAGATATGTAAACAACCTACGCTACCCGGCCCGGGCCGACCCGGTACAGATGAGAATGGCCCAAAAGACAGAGATCATCAAGGCCTGGGTTGTACCAGGACAGACGAGAATCAAGATACTGACATAAGCACATAGCAGGGATTTAAAATCCACACGGGCAAAGTCTATATTTCTTAACCGAGTTACAGAACATTCTTCCTTTTGTTTTCCCTTTTCTTGTTTTCTGTATTTCTTCAAATCTCCTTGGTCTTGTCCTGCCACTCATCGGCTTGTAAATGTATGTGCGACTCAGGAAAAAGTGATGCTGTGAGAGTTCGGATGAAAGTGAGAAAAGAAAATGAAGGTGATGAGTGATTTGTGTGTTTGGGGTAGCGGGAACTGAGAGAAAGGTGAAAGAAGGAGATAAGGAAAGGATGAGAAAGCAGGGCGATCTGGGACCGACGCATGGAAATAAGGGAATGGGTGGTGGCTGGCGGTGAGGCAGCTCTGTGATGGCGGGGTTGGCTGGTGATCTGGCAACAGATCAGATGGAGATGCGATCAGGGAGGCAGAGATAGAAACAGGTCTTGATAATCAGCAGACTGCTCTGTGCTGACTCTGACAGCCAAATTCTCCTCCTGACTCACCCCCGAGAAGGAAGAGCAGGGAGGATGCACAAGTGAGTTCTGAGGATAGAAATGTATAGTGTGCTCTCACATGCACACTTTTGGCACTTGAACACACCCCTGTAGGTACCTAGTGAAACAAAAACTTTAAATCACTCAGCCTCTTAAAGGGACAAAGGAGTGAAAAGCCAGGCTGATTATTCCTTCAGACACGGAGAAAGGAAAATGTCTCTGCATGTGGTTATCTCTGCAGAATACTAACATGGCTAGCCGCTAGCTATACAACACCCCAGCTGCCAACAGGAGCCAGCTTACCAGGGTTATCTTACAGCCTGGACATAGAAGTAGAAGAACAAAGGCATGGGGAAAACAAAATCAGATATTTCGTATAACATGTGGCTCATAACACGTGGCTGTTGCATGGATTTTAAGTAGATCATACTGGAAAGGACAAACTGAACATTTACGTCAATTACGTGTGTAATAACCCCCAGATCCAAACGCACACTGGTGTGTTACTATAGCACTTACCCTCCGAGGTACAGGTTAATTAAAATATGATGACGCCTCACCTTTTTACATATTCCCGTTTGGATGTGACCATCCGTGCAATCCCACTTCTCTGTGTTTCTCCTTCTGCCTGCTGGGAGATGTGTGACCTTGCCAGAGACTGCAAAAGTCCTGGCTATTGATTTTAATTAAAACTGCTTGTCCCATCACAGCATTATATTTATAGAGCAGAGAAAATGTGTGTGTGAGACTTGTTATGCAAAAAAAAAAAAAAAAGAAAGTCTGGAGAGCAGGAGGAAGCACAGTAGAACGTACACATTTGAAAACTCGTTGTCCGTTATCTGAATGGTGACTGTTCCTGCTCTGAAGCAGCTGATGTGTTTTATCTAGATGGTTCCTCCCTATGCCCATCTCTTGATGTGGCACAAAGGTGTTGTTGCCAGCTAGAATTATCACTGCACTGGTTAAAAGATTACTTAAAAAAATAAACACGAGAAGCTGAATTCCCATCATGACACACTCGCTCACAGTTTTCTAATTCAGTGATTACAGAGAAACACAAACAGAGAGATAAACGGGGATATGAAAAGAGCTGCACGCCGAAACAACACCACCGACTCAACCTGCATGTGAGCTACATCAAGGTCACTCCCTTCGCAGTGAGCTGTGGGACAAGTTAACCTCCGGAGCGTGGCATCAGAGCCGCACAGAATAAAGAGAGATGAGAGGCAGAGAGAAATAGAAAGTGAAACACTAGACAAATGCGGTAAGTAGATTGCAAACAGAGAAAGGAACAAGTAAAGAGACAAAGTCAAAGAGACAAGAAGGGAATACAAAGGGAGGGGTTTCATGGAGCTAGCAGGCAGCCGTTAGCGAGATGTCAATTTGCGTGGCAGGGCTTTTCTACCACCGAACCATTTGTAGCTACGAACTTCTGCTCTGATTCCAAAGGCACCGGCGTTGAGATGAAGGCTCAGAAATTGGAGGCCTTCATACATGCGACACATTGTCTATATTTTTAAATCAATCAAGCGTAGAGGACACGCCAGTCACTGCTGCGATGAGCACTCTCACAAAGGCACAAACTTGGTGGACAAATCTTGCAGACACACACACACACACACACACACACACACACACACACACACACACACACACACACACACACACACACACACACACACACACACACACTGATCCACTCCCTCTTATTTTCTACATCGCCATTGTCACTTTAGGCTTGTCATCCTGTCAACTGTTAGGAAGGTTAAATGTCCCCCAGAGAGCCCATATAACTGTCAAAACTCCCCAGAATCGCAGCAGCACATTTAAAACAAATACTGAGTCCGTTTGGCAAACATTTCACACTGGATGACATTTCTTCACCCGCTCAGAATTACTCCACCAATAATTGAAGAGGCACTATTTCCTGGCACTCTAAAGCGACGCCAGATGTTAGATAGGCTCTTTGTTTTAAAAGCACAACGACGTGTTTTTGTTGTGCATGCAAAGTGAAGCGAAAAACTACCTCTGAATCATCCAGGAGTGTGTGTGTGTGTGTGTGTGTGTGTGTGTGTGTGTGTGTGTGTGTGTGTAAGCACAATGATTCAGATCATATATTCTTGAAGCATCCACCTTTTTTTGCGGATGCAAATTAAGTTCCAACAAAGCTTTTTGGAGACGGTGTTACTAGGCAACCTGAGCTGGCGTTGTATATTGTATGTGGTGATACAACATATTTATGTGACTGCAGCTTCATAAGTGTGTGTTCTTTCATTTGAGGCTAAAATCCATAACTAGGGACACAGAATCTGTTGTATGGACACACATTCAGTTGTGTTTATGCTGCAGTGTGTTTGTGGCAGGCACACACACACACACACACACACACACACACACACACACACACACACACACACACACACACACACACACACACACACACACACACACACACACACACACACACACACACTACACTTAGCTTTGTTGGTGTGAAATAAAAATAATGCCACTGGGAATTGATGCCAGTGGTTGCATCTTCTGGCTAGCAGCTGTAGGACTTTTTATTTATTTATCATTCTGCAGGAACTTAGCAATAACACTTGTGAGTTATGGACTTTCCTGTAACAAGGGAGCTGAGATTTGCTCACCTGTGGAGACAACACGCTGTTAGCGACTGTCTGCGGTCAGAGACGGCCCTCTGATGAGACTAAAACACGACCGAGTTAAGACATGTCTCCTGATGGCAGCATCTAAACACCCAATAGCACTCCCCTCTTTAACCTGTTGCACATTATTAAAAACAATGTAAAATGTAGTTATCTCCAGATCTTAGCGTTCCCCTCTGATATTAGTGCTGAATCTCATTTGCTGATCTGTCACAGGATTGGCCGCTTTGAGACCCCAATGAATTTCAAGGTGAGTTAGCTAAATCAGCTCCTTCAAGACCAGATCACATCCCCCCATGGTGCTCATCTTCAGTTTGTGTTATTCAGCAGACAAAGTGTGCAAATATTTCTACAAACTATGTATTTATTTTGAAAAAGAACATGCATTAGTTAAATATTAGTCAGTTTGTTCTGCTGATATTTCATAAAGAAGGGAAGGTTTGTGCAAATATGTATTTTATCTGCTTAACTGTGTGTTTTGAAGATTTCAGTCATTTCTATTTCCATGCTGCCTCACTGGAATGTTTACTTTTCCACAGAAATTTAATTTGATCTGCTTCCATTTATTTTAAACTGAAAAATGATGATTGTCACCATCACATCTCAGAATAGGAATGTGTGAACTAAAGTAAATTCATGTAAATGCAGCGAAAACATGAATACAAGCATTTTCCTCCAATTCAATCTGTTTATCTGTTCCACACTGAATCTGATTTCTGAGATTTACACCAAGCACACATTCACATGAGCTGCTTTTATCATCCCTGAGGCAGCACGAGGAGGAAACTGGTGGAGGATTTACCGTAGCTTCTCTAGCTGGAGTACCCAGAGAAAGTAACAATGAGGGAAATCAACAGTGCATCTTTTTTTTTTCTTTTTTTTTCCCAAAAATTACTTCCTCAACACTCTCCAGTGCAGCAGATTATTTATGATGAAAAGGCTGAAAGTGTCTCATGTAAAGATGCTGGGAAGAATGACACTGCCACCAGTAGAGGGCAACATGATAGAGTGAGAGATGACCTGCTGGAGGAGGAAATGGAAAAATGATTCAAGATGAGGAAAAATAACCTGAAAAATGGTTTGATTAAAAGGTAAAGATAATTACAAGTAGAATTTAAAATGTCATGATAAAGAAACATTTTGAAAGTTGTTCTTTTGCAGAGGCAATCTCCCAACACTTCCCACTGGAGCCTCAGCTAGACCAATCATGCAGGATCTAATGGTGGGCCTCTCCCCAGCGTCCTGTGGGGCAGCAGGGCAATTAGCAGAGAGCAGATGAGCACTGTGCCCTCACCACTCTGGCACCACGCCTCCCCTGTGGGGCAACAAGGCA